ATTTGTCATGCAAAAATAGTACTAGGAGGAAGACGATAAATTGAATTAGCCAAACTAATTAAATAGAGAGGGAGAGGGGAAAAGGCAATCCCCCAAAAAACAACAATCCACGTATAGTTAATGTTAATAGGCATGTAAAATATTTATCTCGATCTGCATCAAAATATCCTTGACACAGTATTTCCCTGTCCAACCTCTCTTACTTAACTTACCTGCAAAAGCTTAGCTTCTGTGTAGTTAAAAAAGAATACTGTCACCTTTAGTCTACATGAACGTCCTTCATCTCAGCATTGATAATGCTGTTAAGTTACAGAGAACTGTAAGAATGTAGTATTTTCTGTGTGTTCTGTTAAATCGTGGCATTTTGCACGTTTCTGATTATCCAAGTGTGTAATAAATCAGGTTTATTTTGTATTTATAATAAGGAGTTCAGATTAAGACGGGATGTAAAACAGCGAGTGAAATTCAGCTCAATATACTTATTAATTTAAACATAATCCCTACTTCTTGACTAAAAAAAACAAAACAACCAAACAACCGAAGACTATATGCCTATTTACACATTTTAGGCGATGTATGTAGATGTATGTACATCAGTAAAGTAACTCTTCTTATCTCTACAATGCACGTAAAAAGTTATCGGCCACTAATATACCCCAGATGCCTTTTAAGCTGTCGTTTAAAACAGCCATTTGTCTGTATAATTATTTTTTTTCCTTAAAACAGAAATTTCTCCTTAATAATTGAAATTCGGAATAAATTTCATACAAGAAAGGAGCAACCGTCTAAGAGATGGAATTAAAAAAAAAAAAAAAGAGAGAAAAAACCACACACAAACCATAGAAATTTGGTGTTAAGTAGAAAGCTTTCTGCACGAAGCTCGGATGCTTTAGACGGAGACCCGCTGCAAGCGCGGTACGAGAGCGGGCTGAGCTCTGTCAGGCTCCGCCGCTGTCACTGCCGCGATTTAGGGAAAGGTTGGGGACGGCACTAAGAACCCGCGTCCTTTGGCAGAGGGGAAGGAGGGGGATGACGCGAGGGTGATGCAAGGATGAAGCTGTAACAGCCCTGCGATGGGCAACTCGGGACTCGCCGCCGCCTCAAGGGACCCGGGGCAGAGGGGGTTCAGTAGGAGCCTTGCACTCTCACGCAGAGGGGCAGGCTCTCCTTACCCGCACTGGAAGTGTGCGAGTAAACTTACACCTGACACTCGTACCCAGAATTCGGTGGGAAGCGGCTGTGCCGCTCCCCGAACCCAGTTTGGGTGCTCGGGTGTAGGCGCAAGGAGCCCTACCGCAGAGCATCCTTCTACCTGCGGCCGGCTCCAGGGAGCCAAGAGCCAGGTTCTAGTACCCCAGGCGCTCAGCCCGCTTGCGGTGTAACTGCGTGTCAGCCGGGTAGCGTACATGGCAGGAGCTCGCAGGTCGCGTTGTGCCAAAACGTGGTTTCCCTAATTCCAGAGCGTTTCCAACGCGTGTGTCGGCAAACCCGACGATCCCCGACATCCTGTCCTCGACCCGCCCTGCGCGCCCCAGTGGGGAAGCCGCCGGGGGCTCCCGGCCGGCCGCTGCTCAAAGCAGCTCCCTCCGCGGAGCGGCGTCCCAGGGGATACGACGGGCTGGAACGGCAGACCCCGCTAGGCTCTGGAGGGGACGGGCCGCGCTGGCCGCAGCGGGCCGAGCAGGCAACGACCGCCATCCCCGGGGGTCGCCCCACGGCCTCTGTCTTCCCCCCGGGTGCCCTCCGCCTTGCTGACGGCGGGCGGCGGGCCCCCTCTGCCGGCCCCACCGCAAAGCTGCACCGAGGGCCGCCCCGGGGGCAGCCGCCGCCGCCGCCTTGCGCAAGGCCCGGCGGCGGGCATCAGCGGCGAGCAGCAGCCCCAGCCTTCTCCGCTGTCCTTTACCAGCCCGGCTCCCCGGGTGTAGTCCCCTCGGCGGCAGCGCCCACCCCACGGCCGCACTGCCCCCCGCCCCGCCGCAGCTGCTGTCGCTCCCCTTCCAAGCCCGCTGGCCCCGGGGGAGCCGGCGGCCGCGGCTGCTGAGCTGGCGGCTGCGGCGTCCTGCGGGTGGCCTTGGGGAGGGGCGGTCGTCCCGGCACACGGCGGGGCCGCGGCGGGGAGAGGAGGCAACACGTGGGGGGGCGAGGGGTGGGAGGTTTGACGGAGGGAACCCTGAGCCCGGGCCAAGAGCACGCCGCGACGGCGGCAGCGGGTCGGGATCGCCCTGTTCCCAGCCTGGGTTACGCCAGAGGCGAGCCCACGACGTCCGCGGTCGGCACCAAAAACTAAGACAGAAAACCACCAAAACCAAAAAACAAACCAACTCCAACCCTGCCCGAAAGGACAGCCACGCCTCCACCCGGCATCCTCGCTACGCGGGCCCAGGCTGGCTGGTGGGGCAGGAGCCGCCAGCCCGGAGCTGCCCGCCCGCCGGCCCGGCCTCGGCCGCGCTGTGTCGGGAGGGGAGCATTTCCCGAGGCTGAGGGCCCGGCGGCCGCCCCGACAACCAGAGCGGCGATGGGCGCTCCTCGGGGCCGCGTCCTTGTCCGGGGGTGCGAAGCAGCAAGGCGGGCGGGGGACGCCAGCCCGGCGGCGGCCTCCTCTGGGGCCGCTGGCCCGGGTATTCCCCCTCAGAGGGGAGAAAAATCCCCGGAACAAACGCTGCCGGGAGTTCGCCCGGAGGGTGCGCGGGGCTACCCGGGGCGGTGCGGCCTCTGCGGCCCTGCAGGACGAGCCGCTCCGCTCCGCTCCTCAGGGACTGGTGGTCCGCAAGTGAAGAGCAAGCAAGACCTGCACCAGAGGCAGGCAGAGCCGCGGGTCTCTCCGGCTGCTCTAAGCAACCCCCGGCAAACCGCAGGCGCGGAGCATCCTGCACATGGCCGCGTCGGGCTTCGCAGCCAGCGCCCTGGCTGCAGTGGGCTCGGGGAGCCGCGGCCTGCCTCTCCCCCTCCCTCCCTCCCGCGGGCTTGGTTGCGGTGATCGCGGCGTCCCGCCGACCCGGCGCTCACCCCCCGCGCCCCACGGTAGCAGCGGCGGCGGGCGCGCCAATTCCAGGAGACCCTGGCCCGCGGCCGCGCCCTGGCTGCTCCCGGAAAGAGCCGTGATTGGCCGGCGCCCTCCCCGTATGCAAAGCAGCCGGGGGAATGACATTCCTCCGCACTCCGCCCGCCGCAGCCGACTCGCTCCCGGCCACCTCCATTCATACCGGCGGCGGCGGTGGCGGCGGGAGCAGGGCACGGGGCGGACCCCATCCCGGCCCAAAGCAGAGCGGCAGAGCCCGGCCCGGTTCGGCCCGGCCCGGCGGAGCTCCGGGCACCGTGGTTGGCCGGGCGGGCGGCAGGAAGGCTGCGTTCCCTGAGGCTCACGTGAAGACCCGAGAGCTCTCCGCTGTTGGAAATAGGCTTCCTCTGAGCGGTCGTCCCGGCTGGAGGCTGTCACTTCTAACCCTGGCTGGCAACTTCGGGGGCTTTGGTCTTCCCCTCTTCTTTCCGTCTCCGTGAGGGTGAGCGGCTCCTCCGCCGCCCGCCTGCCGCCACCTCCTCTTTTGCGGAAGGAAAGCTTTCACTCGTTCAAAGTAGTGGTTTTGGGGTTTTTGGTATTGTTTTGTTTTCCCTTAATCGGGTTGGGGTTTTATTACTGCTGTTGTTGGTTGGTTGCTCTTGGTTTTCTGTGTGTGCGCGGGGGCTTCTCCACGCAGGCTGGCGGTAGCCGTCCCGCTGGCCGGAGGCGGCCGATGGAAAAGCCATGCTTCCGAAAGCAGCCTTCCACCTGCTGCTGCGGTTAAAATATTGTTAAGCAGCCGGTTCCTGTGGCCGAATTAGAGGAAGACTGCCTCAGATACCGAAAAAAAAAAAAAGAATTGGCAATGAGTGCCGAAGTTGTTGCAGGCTGTTGTTGGTCTGACTGCTGAGGAGGACGTGAGTGGGAGAGAGAGAGCGCTGTTGCACACACAAAACCACAGAGAGAACCCACAATTTAACCAACATCCCCAAACCCAAGTTTTCAGCTGTGGACCTTTCAGCCTCAGAGCTTGTGATCGGCTGCGACCTTTCCTTAAGTTGATGAAAGACGTTACACCAAAGACAAGTGCAAAGACAGATTTAAAGCTTGAATGCCATGCGCTGAGCTTTCCTTTGTTATGATTTCTTTTTGCGCAAAGATGATTGAAAGGTCATGACACGAGTACTCTTAGAGCACCGCGAACCAAACTACTGAAGCTCATTTTCAAGGCTGCTCGAAAACAAAAAACAAAGTCTCGCAGAGAACATTAATGGATTCCTGTTGTGTTTAAATTCTCTACAGATTATATTGTAAATATTTTATGAAGTACGGTATATGTGTGTGCGCGGGCGTGTGTGTACGTGAATATATAGATGCAGTCGTAGCCAGCTGACCTTTGATCAGGCAGTCTAGCTCGCCTACCGCCTTCTCTGAAGACTGACCCCGAAATTCCCTCTCTTAAAGAGCAACTTTTGCCTGCGGAAGACGCTGATGTATTTCGTTTTCTCTTGGGACTGTAGAGAAATCACCTGGAAGAAACTGATAGGCAACTGACTCCCTGGGAAGCCCAGGCTTTGCATGTGTTTCTGACCACGTCTTGTATGCGACTTGCCTAAGTTTTTCCACGGTACTTGGGAGTTTGAAAGGAGCTTGTGCCCCGATAACTTTCTGCGCCACGGCCGCAGAGTAGATGCTCGGGCGTTGCGGTAGAGCGCCGCAAGGACGACCCCCCTTTCACTTATCGGATTAATGTGATCTGCTCTGCCGCGCCAGGAAGCCAAGAGTTAAGTCTCGGCGCGCTCGCTATCTCAGCCGCCTTCAGCAAAAAATTAACTTTGGGGACTGGCGTAGAAACAAGTTTCCCCCGGGTCCTCTGCCTGTATCCGTTTATGTTGGTCCCCAGAGAGCAGATCGCTGAAGAGTTCCGCTCGTTTCGCTGTTTTGTAAAAACTCTGTGGAGGTCTTTCACTCAAAAGGCTTGTTGTGATGCGTATCCCCGTAGATACCAGCACCAGCCGCCGCTTCACGCCGCCCTCCACCACGCTGAGCCCGGGGAAGATGACCGAGCCGCTGCCGCTGCCCGGCGCCGAGCACAGCGGCGCGCTGCCGGGGAAGCTACGCGGCGCCGACCGCAGCATGGTGGAGGTCCTGGCCGATCACCCCGGGGAGCTGGTGCGCACCGACAGCCCCAACTTCCTCTGCTCCGTGCTGCCCACCCACTGGCGCTGCAACAAGACGCTGCCCATCGCCTTCAAGGTACGTCCGCCGGCTCCCAAAATCGCGGTTCGGGGGGGGGGGGGGGGGGGGGCAGGCTGGGGGGCACAGGGCGCGCACCCCCGGGCTCGAACCCGCACTCCTACTGGGGTCAGGGCGGGATGGCTCTCCGCGGCGGGAAGGACACTTCGGGGACGGCGGAGGGTCGCAGCCGGCTCCGCGCCTCCCTCTTTCTATCCTTGCTTCTATCTTTCCTTCTGTCTTCCCATCCTTCCTTCCGCAGTCTCTGCCAGTCGCGGCGCGGCTCTCGCCCGAACTGCGGGCAGCAGCAAGCGGCGGCAGTGGGGGCACGCAGTGAGCTGGGCGGGCTCCCCCTCTGCTGCCTCCCTCTGCTGCCCATTCATAACTTTGGTAGTAAAAGGCGGCTCAGCTCGAGAGCGAAAAAATGAAAAGGCAAAAGGCAAGGCCCGAGGAGTTTGGGTGCCCTGGGGACCAGCTGCCGGCGCAGCACGGTGCAGGCGGCTGCAGGCGTCCCGGACCTGAAGGAGCCCCGGGCTCCCACAGAAGTCCCCCGCAGTGACGGCGGGTTCTTTTGCGGGCAGCCCCGCGGCGCAGCGCCTTGCCGGGGCTCCCGCCGGTGTTGACACCCGCCCGCCACCGCGGACGCACCGTCAGGTCCCGGTCGAGAGGTGCCGGGTTTCCCCCGGCCAGGCTGCCAGGAGCTCTGCGGAAAACACGTTACTTCTTTCGGCTGTTTCTAAAATAGTAAATGTCAGGGCCTAGCCTGGACGGACCCTGAGACCGCTTGGATGTCCCTTGTTTCCTTTGCTAAATCCGTGCTTGGTAGCCCAAGTAAATACGGAACCAAAGATAGGGGGAACAGACAGCGGGCACCCCTTGCCACAGGCCGCCGCCGGCCGTGCTGCAGTGCGTGGCCGGTGCTGCCGAGCGGTGCCCCTCGGCCGGCTGCGGGGAGGAATAACTGCTGCGCTTTCTTGCCTCTCCCGGCCTGCTGTCCCGTTAGCAGTGTTCAAGTAAAATTCACCCCTTTGATCACACTCTTTTTTGGCTTGGGTCTGTCGCAGACTTCTTGAATGCAGTGGGTTTCTTGCTACTGGTGTAGATACGCTTCCGAGCAGGGAAAAGAAAGATAATTATTTTTGTTACTCTTTTCTCCGAGGAGGGAGCCGCAGAGACATGCAGCTCCTAGGAGCCCCAGGGTTAGATTTAGGGTCGGGATTTGACTTCTTGCTTTCTTTTGCGGTCATTGCTAAACACCGGCTGCTTCAGCACAACTGTTTTGGAGGCGAGCAGACCCCAGTCTTACAGATAGCTTTTTGCGGGAAGAGAAGCGAGGGAGAATCAGGTCACCTCCCAGAGCTTTGGGAAATCCCGCTGAGGAGGCAGGAGTCTTCAGGGAGAAGTTTTGGGGAGAAGCGTGTCTAGAGAGTCTTCTTGATTTAAGCATATGTGAGTCTGGGGAACGGGAGGAACTAACCGTCAGGGTCAGCTCCTAAATTCACACATTTAGATTAATTATTACACTGTCACCCACGCTAATTACTCGGGAAGCTCTGCTCCTGGAAGGCAGAGTTACGGTGTGGAACAGGCGTGAAAACCCGCTCCGCCCCGCCGGGAAGGGCGGCATGCGAAGTCCCCAAAACGTGGATGGTATTTCTACGAGGGGGTTCCCTGCGGCCGGAGGCCCCAGCGGCAGCTCCCGCAGGGCCACGCGTGGCCGCTTCCCTGCCCCGGTCATCTCCCGGCGGGGAACAGGGCAGGGGGGGCGGACACACACGACGAGAGGCGGCTCACCCCGCTGCCTCTCGGCTCCCCGGGCACGGGGAAACCCAGCGGCGGCGGCTGCCTTGGTTATGTGAAAAACAAAGGCGCGGAACTGGTTTTGATAGAGCCCACGCTGCTGTCCTTCCTCCTTCCCCCCGCCCGCGGCCGGAGCAGCCCTCCGCGCTCAGCCGCAAGCCCGCTCCCAGCTTCTGCAAACAGAGGAAAGGGTCAGCTTCTCCAAACAGAGGAGAGCCAGCGTTTGTAACACTGGGAGAGCTTAACCTAGAAATACGCTTGTAAAAGCAGCCCCAAAACCCAGGAGAGCGTTTCTTAAAGCGGTGGTCTCGGAGGCACCTGCTCGCCGGTGCACCTCATCCCTCATGCCAAAACTCCGTCGTGGAGCGCTGAGCAGTGAGTCCCGAAATAGTTTGCCACATACAAAACCATCTCGCTAGAAACGCTGAGTATTCGCAAAGTCATTTTGAAAGGTGTATTTTTTAGGATCGTTTGTACCACGAACTAAAAAATTCAGTTTAGATCATTCCTATTGCTGATATCCTATTTGCATCTGAGAAAAAAAAAAGCACTGAGTTTTATTAAGTACTTGCTAACAACCATTGTGTCAAAAAAGAGTTCACATTTCCTTAGAAAAATTCACTCACAATGGATTCACTCATGAGCCTAAGATCAGGATGTCATTTCAAACCAAAGTGATCATTTCCACACATTATTTTTTTCTTAAATAAATAATGATTCCAAGAAACTTAGGAAATAATACATAATAACTCTAATAAGGTGCCATATAGATTAATTGTCCAAACGCTGTTAAGAAAGAATCTAAATCTTTATTTTAAAGGCCAATTTTGTTTGATTGATGCGGCAGAAGTAGGTAATTTAGATACCCGGCAGCACTGCAACTGTGATACTCCTCTGGCTTCTCTGAAAATGCATTTTTTTAAGAGCTAAAGACTACAACAAAGTACTAGATAACTCCAGTCAGCAAGTCCCAACTTATCTGTTTAGTCTTTTTTGTAATGTAAATGTTTGTATTTCTGTTTCTATTGTCTGTGATTTCTAAGTCTGGTTTCTTTTCTGGGCTGTGTTGTTTTTATACTTGTTTCTAATATTTTCTTCACGTGTCTTATTGCTGAGGCTGCCTTTACTGTAATTTGAAAACAGGGATTTAAAATCCTTGTCCTGTAAGAGTCAGCTCCCCTGGATTCAGGAAGGTTTTTCATCCCTTAAAATGCTAGCATATATTTCCTTAAACAAACATGCAAATATTTGTATCACAGGGAGGAGAGGGTAATGCCCTGATTTTCCCCTTTCCCTTTCTTGTGCCTTTAATATATGTGCATGCATTAAGGCTTCTCGGTAACTGTTAAGAACTGGGTGAGTGCGTTGGGTTCGCAGTTGCTGATCTTACCGGGCAGCGTGACTTACGACACAACATGGTGCAAGGAGAAGACTTCCCAGCTTCAAGTGTTCAAGCAGGGAGTCATTTATGCCAAGATCAGGAAAACATGAAAAACACGCTGAGCGTAGCACAGGCCGCAGAAACACAGCACACAGAGGAGAATAAAACCCCAAAAGCCTGGGCTGCAGAGGAATGGGAAAGAGGAAGTTAAAATAGATACGTAAAGAGGGAATTTTGACACAGTGATTTTAAGTTTGCATGTGGAAGTGAAAATAAGGGTTATCAGTGACAAATGGGAGAGCATGGAAGTGAGAAACGCAGCCTCCTATAGAAGGAAAGACTGTGAAATACCTGTGACTGGAGACCTTTCCCATATTATGGGAGGTAGCTATGGCTGGGCAATAAGCATCAAAGGCAGATCGAGTAAAGACGGCACTGGTCCTGTGTGGAAAGAACAAATTGAATGAGAAACTAATTGAAATAAGACTGGGCCATGACAAGTTTCAGCCAATTATAACTGTATGGACGTAAGCTAGAAAACACTAAGAGGAAGGAAAAATATCGAACTGCAACTCAGAGGACATGATGCAGGACTACTTCCTCTTAGAATGTGCAAAAGGGGAAATAAAAAAGACTAGCAAGATTTTTTTTTCTCCTTTTTTTTTTTTTTCTTTTTTGGTATTAGTTCTGAGGTTGCTACTATAGACTTAATTGGGGGAACAGAAACAGGATCTAAAAAAGTATGGTAGGGGACCTAATTCAAGCTCTTACTTCTGCCACAGTAAATCAAGAGAAGCACCAGATACCCATTCCTTTGTAGCAGGGTAAGCTTGTTCTGAGAATTCAGTCCTGCTCAAGAAGATAAGACAAATTTTTTCATCATTTAAAATCATAGACACAAGTCAGAAAATTTAAGGTTAGAAATCTCTGTATCTCTCGGGACACTGCATCAAAAAATGCAGCAAATCCTGTGATCCTGAATATTTGTTTGATAGCTGCTGGCACCAAGGAGCTACAGTGCAAACATTTCAGAGCAGGTGAAAGCCTTTGGCTGAGCGATGGCAGATTTCATTAGTTAAGATCACGGTTTCCATCCACCAGGTTGCGGGTGAGGTTTTAAGTCAATGGTTTGCTTTCAGGCTTCTAAAGGAAAAAAAGAAATTGTTCAGAAAGCTGTGATTAAACATTTGACCAAGGCCTGATTTTCCTTGGACTCACTCTGAATTTGTGCTGGGGCATCTCTGTTCAGAGCAGCGGGAGAAAAAGGTAGGAACTAGTGCAGCTGTGGGGATTCTGACCCTCTGCCTCCGTGAGATGATTGGTTTGCTTTCGTTTTCTTTGGGATTTTACATTTCCATCATTGTGCTGACTCCGCTGGAGCTTGGAAGTGATGCTACTGATGTAAATCAGACCAGAATCAGCTCCTGTTACTTGAATTTATTTATTGACAGTTACAGAAGTATATCCTGGAAGGTTTGTTTCATGTATTTTCCGTATCAGAGTGCATGGATTGTACTGTGCATTTCAGAGGTGCATCAGTGTAAAACCTTTTCTGTAGCTCTATTTTCTGTTCCTAGCAAACCAGGAATAGAAGTGATTCCCCAAACAGCTTCTTAGTCTACAGAGATTTTTGTTGTTGCTGTTTTTTCCCTATTTTATCATGTTAACTTGTTGATCTTCTGCGCCCCAAATTAAATGTCACATGAGGAAGCTGAGGCTTCTGCCCCTTGATTTTGTAGGTGGTGGCCTTGGGAGATGTGCCCGATGGGACGCTCGTAACGGTGATGGCTGGAAACGATGAAAACTACTCTGCAGAGCTCAGAAACGCCACAGCTGCCATGAAAAACCAAGTAGCAAGGTTCAATGACCTCCGATTCGTGGGCAGAAGTGGAAGAGGTATGTGTTTGTTCTCAACTACACTTGGGTCATGTTCACCATTTATGTCAAGTTCAGGTTACGTGGAGGGAATTTGAAGACGCCGTCTATGGAGTTTTTTGCAGCAGGGAATGCCGCAGGATCTGGCATAGGCCAGTTCCAAAGGCACAGAATTAGCTGCATGTTTTTCTTTGTTTTATCGTAGCCTGTCCTCTGCGTTACCTCAGTTTTTAAACAGTGGAATCTCATTTGGAAAAAAAGCAAAAACCTCACATAGACAGAAAATCACATCTGACTCCAGCAACTGGCCCATCAAATTTAGAATAGCACAGTATTACCCATGTTCAAAGATTAAATAGCATGTTTTTCAATTTAAAATGAGAATTTTCAGCTTGTGTAAAGACTCGTGACCATTTCAGGGCTCCAGTGCACTCTCTGCAAAAGCTGGTCTCTGCAAGAGAGTGAGTCAACCTAAAATTACAAGTAATTCATGCATAGATCTAAAAGTTTTCTGGGTTCATCACAACCTGATGAAGGCACAAGGCACTTTTTCTGCTTTTTCTTTTCTGAAATAGATGTAGAACAATATGCAGTAGTTGTTATTTAGTGTGTTCCTGCAAAATGGATAGGATAAATCAAAAGAGAACAGATGAGTTTAGTGTCGGGCTTTCTGTATCTCTGTAATAACCAGTAATTACCAGCATGTAAATAAAAAAGCCTTATAAGCATAAATAACAAATAAGAGTCAAAGTTGACTTAGGCAAAAACGATATTAAATGGTTTTAGGAAGCTGCAGTCAGTACCTGACACGTGTGGCTCATGTCGCATATGAGTAAGGAGGTGTACAAGCTTGACCCAAAACCCCATAAAATCAACAGAAGGACCCTTTGCAACTTCACTCTCTGTCTCCAGTCCATAATTTTAAACCCCATAAATTCTATCAATTGTGTTTACCTTTCTATTACAAGATTATTTTAAGCACTCTCTTGCTTTACTGCCCTTGTTGCTGTGAGTGGTGTCCCTTGTATGGGTCATGGGGGCTCAGTCAAATCCCCACAAGAGAAGCCAGTGAGCTTCAAGAATGAAAAACTATCACATCTTCCGTGTGATATTTATTTATGTATTGTGTTTCATTCATATCTTTAAGTAAAATCAGGATGTAGCATTATGGTGTTCCAAAAACAGCAGTTATTTAGGGACAATTCAGTGCTGTGACATTCACAAATCAAAATAATAGTGTCTACTGCACTTAGTTAGGTTTCTGTATACTACCTTTTTAAGCAAGTTGTGCAATGCTATCTCTCTAAATCAGATTGACTACTAAGGGCTCCCTTTCTCCCCATGTGAGCATCTGAGACAGATCCTGGTGTGTGGTTGCATACACGGTCCTTACAGACATGAACAGAATTATGAGCATGCCTCAGGGGAGTTACAAAGGTGACCCACTTCTGCTCACTCACTCTCAAAATGTTTTATTCCAAATGGGAGACGGGTCAGGCTTCAGACCAAGGAAGTTATCCTGATTATACACAATAGCCTTTATTTGCCTTTGAAGTGAAATGCATCTGTAGATATTCTTCCAATGTAAATGCAGTCAGCAATTATGGAAGAGCACAGCCCTGTTGAAACATAGGTGCAAGCAGTAAAGGCATTTTAAGAATAAAATGCCGATCCCGTCTCTCTATATCCTGCAGCATTTTTAGCTGAGGATACAGAGGGAGATGTCTTTTAAATCATGTTGTTTGGGCTGTCTTCAAAATGCACTTGGTGGAAAACACCCGCAGCTGAGAACGTAGCTTCGTAATGCTAGCAAAGAATAATAATAGGGTAATGCAGAGAAAATTATATCCATTTACTGAAAACATGAGAGATGCTGTAATGTCTAAAAGTATCAGTCATTAAACATGTTCATTTGTTATATTAAAGGTACCACCTTTTCAGTAAATGGAATTTGCATTATGATTCAGAGATGACTGTTTAGAAGATTCAAATGAATAGCTGGCAAAGTGGCGGAGAAGCTAATAAAAACAAACCTGTAGTTCAGTTCCTGACCATGGTAATGAAGCTAGAAATCATAACAGTGAACTGTGTGATTTTCAAGGTCAAAATCCAGTGGCTGAGAGTGAACAGTCCCTATTCATACAGAAACACTTGGTGAGGAGCATTGTTGAGCCCCTTACCCTGCTGTAAGTGGTTGCTGGTAGATGATCACTCATGCACTGACATAGACCTTGTTTGTCATATCATATTCAGGTGCTTGGGATCCTTTAGGCAATGGAGCGACTTAGAAACGCTGCTTGCTATTAGTCAGTCTTCGAGGTTAAATCTCATCACCTCCACTGGCTGCCCATCTTTGGAACGAGTGACTAATGTATGCTTTTTGTTTATTCCTGGAACAGGGGATTGTTTTCAAAAGGTGGGGATTGTGTGCATTTGGCACGGGATTTCTGAGGTGCTGTTCTGTTGAACTTGCATAAAACCTAAAGCGTAAGGTAGCTGCTTCAAAGGGCATTGCTTCCTTTGATACTTCACTAGAGGAAAATTAACAGAAACTTTGTTTGCTGTGTAATACTTGAGTTTGCATAAGTTCAGTAGCCACCAGTGATAATGCGATTCCAGGAGCATTATGTGAACAGTGATTGAAAGTTCACGTTGGTTACAGTCAGAGTGGATGTTTTTTGTGTATGTATCTCAGGTGATTTAAAATCCTGGCTGGAGAATAAGGAGCAGCTTTGACCAGTGACAGTTCCCTGTTCATCAGTTATCATGCAGATGCAACCATCATCCCCATTAAAAGCCTTGCTGAACTGACGGCAAGCCATCGCTCTCTCCCTTATAAGAAAGTAGGAAATTGTCATTCTTGACAGTCTTGATAAATAGTTTAGATTCCCTTATGGGGGCTTTACATGAAATCTACCAAGACAGTCCGATGGCTGTTTCAAACATAAGACTATTGTCCACGTTTTCACATAAGGGGCTGTGCACTGAATGTCAGAGAGTTACAGCAATTCCCCCTGTTGGAGGGTCTGTTCCTGCTTGTCGGCCTGAGCAGATGCACCAAAACACTGGCCGAAGCTTAGAGAACCAAGCTGCGTTCCACCGTTCCTTTCACATCTAACAGCCAGCGGTTGCCCTGTGTTGCTCTGCCGATGCCTGTTGTTCAGAATTACAGAAATAACACAGGGCACTTGTTTTCTTGACACCCAGAATGGGAGCTGAGAATATCGCAGGTCACCCAAGACATTGAGATGTTGTAGAAAAGCAATTTGGCTCACTTTCCTGAACAAAACAGATTTACATTGGAATTGGCTGGGCTCCAGAGTTACTATTCCTCACCCTAGTTTGAGAATGCTACTGGGAAAACCTGCCTGTCTGGCTTCTAAGCTTGGTAAGTACTTTCTGAAAGAAAAATGCAGTTTTAAAATTCAGCCAGTCTCAGCCCCCCTCACCTGATTACCTGGTAAAAATAAATTAATCTTTATTTTTCTCCTTCTGTTCATAAACACTTCAAACTTCAGAATGCTACTGCTGTTTTCTTAATGTATAATGAACAGGTTTAGGTTACTCTGATGAAATAAATCTTATGCAAAATGCCTGACACCATAGAGGTTCATTGGATAAAATTAAATAAATAGTTATTTTGGAGAGGGAAAGCTTCATGGCTTGGTAGGCATTACATATTTTCCTCATGGAATCATTAATCCCAGTAACTATCGTCTTTGTAGAACGCAACACTAAGAAAACCCTAACAAATAAGCATGTTTTCCAGATGAAAATCATTATTAATAGGTTATCATAATAGTAGCTAAAAGGGGAGGTGTCTTGGCTTGCTGCAGGAGATCTCGATCTAAAGCTAAGAGCTGGAGCTTCCTGATAGCTCTCCAGCAAGGCCTTTGTAAAATCTGTGCCTTGGAAAGGGCTTAAAATTGAGTCTATGTATATTTTTTCTACCCACTATCAGGATTAGAGCTATAAATAAGTTTTGTGAGAGTTTTCAGTTTCCACAGAGCCAAAGAAATACTCATTTTTCACAGGTGTAGCTGGTAGGAGAACACGAGAGACAGATTACCAAGCATAACAGCAGTTTCTGCTATCAGGACTCTTCCTTCTGGATGTTGCTTTGGGGAAGAAAAATCAGTTTTAAGCTGGGATCTCAAAAATACTTAAACTCCAGAAATTACTGGCCTGGATTCTCAGTCCAATTATTTTAGTTAGTCTTTCTGAAGTCAGAATTTTGCTCCTTCTGTGCAGCTTCAGTTTGTGGTTGCATTATTTGAGCACTTTGTTAAAATTTGGTTTCTTTTTTTACTTAAATGAATTCAAAATTGTTAAAAGTATGTGCAAAACAGAAGAGAAGGCTATTCAACAGGCTCGTAAAAATCAGTATTAAGCAGCCTTCTGGTTTCTGGTCCAAGCCATTGGAATGCTTCAGGGGACACAGTATCAGATACTGGAGTAACAATGAGACGACGCTCTTGCCAGGCAGGACAAAAATAGAAGAAATCCAGCAGCAATCAGAACTGAAAAACGAGTCAGTTTGTTGAGTTTAAAACCAACCACTTATTTATACTTTGGATCGATAAATTTATGGTGCTATCAGGATGCTACAACCAGCATGAAGGTGGTTTGGCTGTAGGGAGATGGGCAGGCCCTTTGAGTCATCCTCCAGCCCTGCTGTTGTGCCGGGCACGGGCAAGGCTGGCATGGCCCTTGGGAAAGGGAAGCAACCAAAAGAAGGGGCCACACTACTGGTGCTCACCCCCAGTGTGCGTTAGAGGGTCGATGTTTATCACAGGGTTTTTCTCCCACCAGTAGGGCCAGGAATGCTGATTTATGTGTGATTCAGGGTTGCTTAGTTGTGTTGTTAGTTTTAATCAAGATTTCTGTGTAAACCGAGTAGCTGTGCAAGAATTCACCGTGCAGACTCCCTGCACTGGTACAGAGGAGCTGATGGCTATTTCAGGCCAAATAGCCTGGGCCAGCTTTAGGTTGATCAGCAAAACCAGCCCCTTCAAAGCTAC